GGTTATTACTCAGGAGGGGCTTTCGAAGTCTCGGGTTGAAAACAAACGGCCTTAAAGACGAGTGGTACGATAAGATCCCAATTCGTGTAGGATTGACACAGCGAGCCCGCCGGCTCCCCAACAAGGGAACTCCGATAGGAACCCCGATGCAACATACCGACCCGGACGCCCATCGCGCCCACCGACCGGTGCCGAGCGCTGATTCATTTGCGAAGTACAGTATGAAGCGAAAGGTAGTGAAATGAAACGGCTGCGGTGCTGCATGTGTGTATGAGCACGTACATGCAGCGTATCTACCGTAGCGTTACCATGCCAACGGGAAACTCGTCCGAAATTGCTTTCCGGGTCGTGTAGAACAAAGGATTTTTTGCAGGTTTTTGACCGTATCGCGTTTTTGCCATTTTCCCACTATATAGCATCCCTGCTGCATTTAGGACCGGGTACCAAATTATCGTGCCCTCACTGAAAAACCGGTCGGTTCGGTTTCCCGTTGCGCGCATAGGTGACTACGACCTAATGCAAGCTAAGGGAGTCAGCTAAGTGTCGTATACCTCCGAGAAGTGATAGCATCGTGCGATCCATTCCTCACGAGGCTGACCGAAAATCGGCTGCTCTCGGAATCCAACCGCTTCACGCAGCTTGATGGCATCTCAGAGAGCGACGCTCAAGACAATCGCAGTTTGACGCGCTGTCGCGCGCGGCGCATCGTTCGGTCCTTGATGTGCAACACTTTGTCGATTGGAGCAGCGGAATCCACAAGAATTGGAGCGAAGACAAGACTGAATTCCGAGTTATATCGATCTTCCCCGCCCCTTTGCATTCAAGCTTCAAACTCGTCACTCGCGTGCGCCACGCCTCTCGCCCCACCCAGGGGCGGCATATTACGATTGTCTTGTCACATTCCCGGAAGGAAGTAGGTGGAAGCGGCGAATAGCACTCTTGCCGTTCATATATGCAGACAGGGCTCTGGTCCCGAGCTTTTCACTCTCTGCAGTCAATTGAGTGTTCCCATACCTTTCCGGAGGGATAAATGTAATAACTTGTGCATCGATGCTAGAAAGATGCTCACACATTGCTTTCCCATAGGCGGTCTTCTACGGACGTCATTTTGGATGAGGGTTCACTACAAAATGGGACTCACCAGATGAAAGGAGTGTCAGTTTTGACTGTGTTGTCAGTTTTGATAATGAATATACGTCAGTCCTCGAGTTAACATTGTCTAAAGTATGACTCATTCTGTAACTTTATGCTGGCTGGAATGGTGAGGAGAACTTCGAAGGCCACCTCGTTATGGAATGCCTGGATTGACAAAGGCCCTTTCAACCAAGGGAGGTAGAATCACCGCCTGCCAATTATAAGCCACCTCATACCGAGTGGTCTTCGGGAGTACTAATAAAATAGAATCGTCGTACTAATAAAAGAATCGTTCCCAATGACGGTTATCGTTCTCATATAGATTTCCGGCTCGCATACAATGTCAGACCTCAAGAAAGGGTGTCAGTGCTTTTAAAATCTTCAGTCTCTAACAAACTTTATAACCTTCTTTTCGGGCAACTTGCTGGAGTGCTCGACGAGGCGAGTAAAAGTAAAGCCAGCATCTTTCATAGCTACAAAAGTCGTCTTTGTTCTGTCCACTAGGGAAATCTGAACTCATGTCCACACCCTTGCCAGCTACCCAAGTATTACTGCCTCGTTGCGGAATCCGCGACTCATGCTTGGCGCTATCTCCAGTAAGTGTTTATTTGTTGCGTGCCTTACGAGTCGCCCGAGGACGGAATCGTCGACTTCAGGGGCCTGTACATGTCTCAGGTAATAGGTTCACAACTTACCACAGGCGACTCGTCATCTATTCCGAATGTGCCGAGGTTGCAAGAAGAGAGATAGTATCGTTGGGCTTCCGCCTTCGTCAGGAACCCTCCCGTATAAGACAGTAATGAGAATAACCACCTCACGAGAGCATCCACTGAAGCTGTGGAGCACTAGCTCAGGTCCGGTAACAGTTATAGTTGTTATCGTGCCAGCCCAGCAGGGCGGTGTCAGGAGGCGTAGTATGAGCCTGCCCACTGCCGCGTGTTTCACCAATAGCGACCATTTCAGGCAGAACAACCAATAGTAGAAAACGCCACGGATGTGCTAATTCCACGATCCTGACATCGCCCTTCGGATTGCGACATTATCAGTTGTACTTTACAAAACGCGAAAAAAACTCCTCCTCCTCCGTCAAAAATTCTCCTGTAAGTGTACAAGTAAAGTCAAAGTTGTAACTATGTTTGTTTAACAAGAGTAAAAACAAGATAATTCAACATCATGGTGAGGTTGGAATAAGAGATACTATGGATATTATCAGAACAACAAAAAGTACAAAATCAATATATAGGAATGAGATCCATGAGAGTAATCTTCCACGATTTTTATAGTACATCATTTGTTGATCACTGAGCTTCTCAATACGATCGATCCATTGAGATCCATAGTCAAGTGGATGCATCACATGGTCCAGAAACTGACGACTAAGCTAAAACTTCATTACTTATAGCAACAATTCATCTAAAAATCTGACACAGACAACTCTGGAATACTACTTTATTATTAGCTCCCCAAAAACTAAATTTTTTTTGCTGAAAATTCGCCCTTAACGGCATGTGGCACGATAAAGCAACAAGGCGCACATGGTCGATACGCCGAGCACGAAAGATATGGTGCCCCTTAGCAAGCGCTGAGTGGCCCTCTTCCAACCAAGAACGCCTTTATAGCGCTTAATCAGGGTACAACATGCCGAGCCAGACGCCCATCGCAACCGGCCCGCCCACAAACGAAGGCACAGTCACATCGACGCTGGCAGTCTTATCGCTTCATTTACCAATTACGACTGATATGAGTGTCGCTATAGTTAGATGAATGCATAAGTGCGGCCGTACCTATCAAAACGGTTATTGGCGTGATGCCAACGTTAAAGTCGTCCAAAAGTGCTGGTCCAGTGCCGTGCACAACAAGGTATTCACGCGGTTTTTCCCAATTGACTTCGCTTATTCAACATTTTCCCCTCTGCATAGTACCCTTGCTACTATTTTCAAGCAACTACTGAATTCTCGTACCTTATGCCTTCAAGGGTGGTCGATGTTCTAATCACGAATATCGCCTTGGATTTTGGCGCTTGCACCATTTTCGGTGTAAATTTGCAAAGGGAGACCACTTGGTGTCCTGATCATAATCTAGCATTCGTCTGGCACCAAATCGGTCAGGCGACGGTGGCACATGCTTGTTTTGACCCCTGGGCCGGCTCTCATAGAAGGGGTGCACGGGCAGCAGGCACATTCATCTTTCTCGCTCCCCACCAGTCCTGAGCACACCCTCACTTACCTCATATCTGTTGCTGTTAATATGTCATCAAAGTGTTCAAGTTACATGTGGTTCTCTCGCTTTCAGTCACCTCACCCACTCACTCGTCCCGAGTTGGGTGTTGGTATTCAAGTTCTCAAGCTCGCCGTGTAGCCGGATTTCATAGTTTCACAAGAGCAATCCCATTAAACTCAATCAGCGATAGCCGCCATATCCCAGAATACCCGCAGATAGCTTTGGCTTCTCTAGTTACCGCATTGTTGTCGTTTTTCCTTCCCACTGCGTATGATTTTCATACTTCACATAGTTGAAGGCAAAACTTTCCTTCCCCTTTACAAATCAAAAACCAGAGCCGTACCTTTTGTACTTGTGTTGCGAACCTGGTTTCCGTAAGCACTCGATTGATTTTCAAACTCAGCTCGTCTCTCGTTATATTCTGAATGCTCAAATTATTCAACAGCGTACTTCTCCTTACTAAATGGCACATAAACTGTTCTTTCTTTTGATAGAACTCGTATTCTTCAGCATGAAGCTGAAAGTATGTATATGTTCACTACAGCAAAAAAAACGCAAGGGGAGGGATGGTGGACGATTGCGGCCGTTTGTAATGAGATGTGGTACCGCCCGATGAGCCCCTGGATAGTTTGCCTCATTCTATATTTGGTACGGATCTCTGACCAAAGTTACGGAGGTTTTTCAGAGAGACCATACTCAACCTTAAAATGAATTTTTATTGTAAAGTTGTTTCAAAAGTTGAGATGCACGACTCGGTCATAAGCAACCGCATAACAGGTTGACAGCATTCGACTGGCAATTCTCGGGCATCGCTTAGCTCATCCCACCCCCACTCCGAGTTAGAATGGAGTATGAGTGAGCCTTCATCCCTGAAAAATTTCCGTAACTTCGCTCCTCAGCAAAGACTCCTTAGCAGATATAGGAGATGATTCGTGACTAGCGCTCAAAGGCACATAAACCGGTACCACATTTCATCTGGAACGGTCATCGACCTGCCTTCCATCCCTAACGACTGGTATTGAGAGGTAACTGGTAGAATGGAAATTGAGCAGCCACCTGCAGCCACCTTCAGCCGTGTTCCTGCTTTGCGGTAGAACGACTCATCGAGCTATTAATTGACTTCACTCTACCGCTAATTGTTGGACCACTGCAGGAGTTTAAATTGAGTTCTATCCTGACTATGATTGAAATAGCAGCCGGCCAACGATTAGCAGTGGAGCGCTGTCAGTCACAATCAAAAAATGTTAACGCAATATTCTCATTTTCAAAATGTGCTGCACATCCTATCCTAGGCCTGCACTCATTGGCATGCGGTACCCTACCACTTGATGGATTGGCATAATGTATCAGGGTGGTGTCTTATCTAGCAAAAGGACGGCGTAGTCAAACAGAACATCACAAGCGATGGACAGTCAAAGTTCCCATAGTCCCCCTTCACTGTCAGAAGGAGTCCCATAGTCGAGGTACTTACGCAGTATGAGGTGCCAAGATTTAGTAGACTCGGATGGAAATGAAACCCACATGGGTGGTCTTCTGGGCGTTGCATTTTTTCTGCCCTACGACCTTTACTCTAGTTCGCTGCGGATGAAGGGGCGTGTCAGGCAGTATGAGTGTGCCACGGCGCAAACCCGTTCTCTGCCAGTTGTTGAAGCGGGTATGCGACAACATTGGTAGAAAACGAGTGATACGAACGATATGATACAGTCTTGTTGCTTGCTCGCTTCAACAGCTGTGGAGAACGGGTTTGGCACAACGCCAAACTCATCCCCCTGTCACGCCCCTAAGCCCGAACGTAACCAATGGGAGCGTAAAAATCAAGGAAGTGGTAAAGAAACTCATATTAGTGACTAGCGATCGAATGGCACTTCTGAAACTCTGACTCCTTTTTGAGGAGAAAACTAACCTTTTTGTAGACCACTTCGGCAATGCCCAGCTGTCGAGCAAACAGAGCGTTCCGGGGCTGATCAGCAAAGAAAGGCAAGAAAAGCATTGGCGTGCTCGAGCATATGCCTTCTTTTATACTGAAAGAGAAGAATTAGGACATATTGCAGCGGTCATCATTTATTTTGCCTCTAATATGGAAGTCTCAGTAATAGCTGATGCATCGTGTTTCCTGGCCTTTGCTTTAATGTTACAGTATAATTTTCTGTAAGTGCTCGGAAAGCGAGACCTAGAGAAGCTACGGAATGGCAATACAGCTCTAATCCACATGGGCTCTGAGAACGTTCGGCGGAGCAACGCCA